GAAACAAATCTACCAGGCATATTGACCAAATGAACTGGATCATTTGCATGCATCACTGCACAAAGAAATACAAACAATATTAGAAAAATGCAAATATGAAAGAAAGAAAAACATAAACAAACAATATAGCCCACTAATTTACATTCCTAGAGAATGTATCAAATGCACAACCAAAACGAAGACTAAAGTGTAACAAAATAAACGTAAATGTGTATTTTGGCTTAGATTGAGAGAATGATTCGGTTAGTTTACCACTGTTGATGCAACAAACAGGCCTTACAGAAAGAAGACGTAGAGAATTTTTGAAGTAGCATAAAACCAAGTTAAGTAGGTTTTCTTCGGAACCTTTGGGCTTTTCCTTCTGCTACTTGTCTGGATAAGAGAAAAACACATTTGGATGTAAAAGCAAACAAGGTTTTCGAAAAATTAAAAACTAAAAGGGAGAAAATTTATGACTTCAGTTTTGCAGAGAAGGAATTTCAGTCACTAGTACATTTGTAATCAAGTATATTTACTTTGTAGGAACTCTTTTCCTAAGCGAAAACCAAGCAGCGGAAAAACAAGAGCAAGACGGAACGTTGTTCAATGATGAAAGGCAAAGCATGGTAGTATGTAGCGATTAGAAAGTATACCATCTTCACGTTCATTTCTATCGCACCTAAATTTGACCAAGGATATTGTTAGCTTTACTATTAATCTTTATTTTGAAATGTCAAAAATCAAATAATCAAAATATAAGTGTTTAAGTGTATTATAACACCACAAAACCCGTTAAACATTTATATGAAAAATGGCTAAGTGTTTGAAGTTCAAAATGCCTTGGAATCAGCTTAAAATGCTTAAGGTATCCAGACATTTTGAGTAAGTATCGAGACCTCAAGCTTAAAATGCCTTAGAAACAACCTAAGAAGTATTGAGACTTTCCATGAAGCCACCGAGACATCACCTTGGAAGCCTCAGATTCTAGAAGACAAATGCCGATGTATCAAGACCATGCTTCAAAGGTATAATTTACTTGTAGAATCAAGTATCACGTTTTGTCTTGTCACTTTGAGTCTGATTATGAAATTATTTATGGAGTTTCAGTAGTTGGGTTATATATGATCGGAAAGCTACATGAGTCTATTTTCTAACAAACAAAACGGAAGTGGATTCCAAGTTTCCTATGTAAATATATGATTTTTTTTTTTGTAAAGACAGTACAAACTGCCTAGCAGCAACCAGGGGCAATCTCGTAAATTTCCTGCACTTTTCCTACAGTGAACTAAGTGTTGAGATTTATATGGATAGAAATGTTATTAAGTCTTATTTCTAATGCATTAAACAAATCTTGATTCCATGTTTCATAGCTTAAGATATGGTTATTTTAGTGAATGATATGGAAGCTGTCCAGATTTTTAATTTAAGAGAGTTTAGGTTATTTTGTGTACTTTCGAGTGATAAATAGATTTTAGAGAGCTAAATTGTTTCTAATTTGTTTAAATGATTATTATTAGGCCTTTGATTAGTTGGGAAGGATGCAAGTTTGTTAGAACAAAGAAAGGTAAGTATATCTTCACACACATTATTTGCTTCAAAACTATCACATATGTATATTTCTTGAAAGAATCAAACATTTTATTTCATTATTTTCAGTATATGAAAATAAGGTCAACCATATGATTGTTTTTTGTTTCGGGCTTAATAATATGAT